CTTGAGAATATAACAGAGAATAAACTGCCCAAATACCCTTAAACAAAGGAAAAGTACGTCCTTTATGAAGGCATAGAGCCTTTACTACATGAAAATGAAAATTAATGAATACACTGTGTACAGTAATTTACCTGATAAGACAGACCTCAGAAAAATACTTTATGAAAGCTTTTATACTTTTATAAAGCTGTCTATAATGAAAATTAATTAACTAAGGATTTTTTGCCCTGCCAGGGTGTGGCCGAGTTATCTGGAGTGCCGGGTTATCGAGAGCCGGGTATTCGAGGTTCTACTGTATTAAATTATAACTTTTTATTACTTGCTACATACTTTAAAAACGTAAGTTTTAAGAATACGATAGTAATTTACAAATAACAAGTCATTTAAAATAAAGGAAATGTAAATTATAAAGCTAACTCCTTGGCTTTTTACATTGTAAGTAATGAAAAAGTAGTCGCATGTAATGTGTAAAAGATTATAAAACTCTAGACAATACAAACATTTAAGTCATTCTTTATTTTCTGTTATTTCGTAAAGAGTTTCTTTTTTTAGATGCACTCAGTAGCACGCATACTGAACTACAGCAAATTGAAATCTGAAGCGTCATACGAAAGTTTACCCGATAAACAGCCACCAGCAGATTGGCCACAAAATGGAGAAATTTGTTTTGATAATGTTTCTTTACAATATTCCAAGGATAAAAATGTTGTACTAAAGAATTTAACATTTCGTATTCATTCAGGAGAAAAGGTAAAATATCTGCAAAATCCTAATAGTAATGTCATTATTGTCTGAAATTATTCTTATTGTTTATTAATCGCAGATTGGAATTGTTGGGAGAACAGGAGCAGGGAAGAGTTCAATAATAGCTGCTTTATTTCGTATGACAGAACCAACAGGAAAGATAACAATCGATGGAATCGATATTAAAGATATAGGTCTTCGGGATCTACGTAGCAAAATTTCGATCATTCCTCAAGTAAGTAATAATTAATTTAGTCAAAATAATTATTGATTCGCTAATTTTCACATTTACATTATATCATAATTGTCCTTCCTTGTTTTTCTTACATGAGAATTTTAAATATAGAATAAAGTAAAAATTCATATAGGAAAGATTTTCCAAATGCTCGGAATTTTCCGAAAAATGTAGGAAATTTCAATTAATTTTTTAAAACTTGTTCGTTAAATAAATCTATTCTGCAATATGCTGAAAAATAAAAAAGTGGTGATGCGGTTTTCATCATTCCGTTTTGCTCATAAAGAGTGGTTATTACTATTTTTATTGAAATTACTTTCATTCCCACTACATTGCAATTTTTTTATTCCCTCTTTCACCTCGTAAACACTAAGAGGATCTTTTAATAATACGCATTGCTGACAAAGCCACAATAGCGATGCCAAATAGTAAAGAATGAGGCTAGACATGTCTGAAACTGTTTCTCCATAAAAAGGTTGACGTATCTCCAACGAATATAAATTTTTCACAGATTTCTAAAGCGATAACTAACACTAATAACCAAAGAGATAAGATCAGATGATTATAACCGTGATTTTTAAAAGAACTGGTAAAAAGGTTATCATTTCTTCACATGCATTATACTAGGTGAATTTTGGGTTATCATCAACATTTTACAGAGATAAAATCTTTCGTCAATCAGCAATAACTCTCATCTGGTAGATGACAAATTAATTATAGAATTACAAAGTAAAATACTAGAGTATTTATTTACTTTTCTCTATATATACATTATAATTATAAAAAACATAACTGAATATATATAATCTAATAGCCAGCGATTATTATAGTAGTTATATTTATTTTTTTAGGATCCGATGTTATTTACTGGTCCCTTTCGCAAAAACATTGATCCTTTCAATGAATATTCAGAGGAAATGATGTTGCAAGTGTTAGAAGATGTAAGCAATAATTATATATTTCACTCAATTATTACATTTTCATGGTTAGTTCGTTTTAATGAAAAAACTCAATTATGTTGAATTTATTAAAACATATCGAACTAAAGGTGCAGTTAAAAGAAGTTATTAGTAAATTGCCTGGAGGACTGGATACATATTTAACGGAAGGAGGCCGAAATTTCAGTGTTGGACAAAGACAGTTAATTTGTCTGGCCAGAACTCTTTTACGTCAGAGCAAAATTCTTGTTATGGACGAGGCAACGTCTAATATCGATAAAAGGTAAACAGTATATAAAAATCCAAAAAATGTTAGTTTGTAATTCGGATTTTTAGTAGGCCATTGATGTTCGAACTAGGTCATATTATCTTGATCTGCCATCAAACTTATTTGGCACACCACTTTTAAATGATACAAATAGTATTAATCGTAGTATATATGGAATATACACAATATTGTCGGCTTTCGTACCTATGTTTTATGCACAACCGGCCTATAAGTCAAAAGGTTTAAGCATCGCCGCTGTAAACAAAGTATTTCAATTTTCCAAATTCACATGTTCGATGTAATCGATATATGTGTAGAATGATACGTAAATCGTGATCAATTAAGCATCAATATTTTCTGACTATAATCACAATGCGGTCAGTATATTTTATTATAGACATGCAAATCTAAATAAATTAACTAAATATAGATCATGCGATTTATATGATTTATGATATTCACGTTAACAATTTCAGAAGCGAATACAGATTAATGACTACGTTGATATTATAAACGTCTATTTACATATCTTGCGTCATTAAATGCGTGAAAATTTTAAAAATTGTTAGCTTTAAAGTGAAATGTGCTAGCTTTATGTGTTTGAAATATTGAGAAACTCAATAAAAGCATTTAATAAATATAAATTACGATATTTTTACAAAGGTAAAAAAACCTTGTTTCTGTTCTGTTTCTGTGTTCTGAAATGAAACGGCGGAAAGATTAACAAAAACAAGGTTTTTTACCTTTGTAAAAGTGTCGTAATTTATATTTATTAATTAATTTAAATGTAGTTAACGCCGGTCATGGTTTTTTTGTACTATTTTGTAATCAATAAAAGCAGTTAATGTAAGCATGTTTAGTACATTTAAAGTATTATAAATTGAAAATTACGTTTAGTTTCTGATATAACAATATCTAAATGAACTCAGTTCTGAATCTAATTGCAAATGGTACATAATTGAACTTTCATATGAATAAGAAGAGTGACATTTTTCTTAATTTTCCTTATCCCAGCATTGCAGGACATGTTAAAAATTAGGTTTTAATATGTATCAATATTTGAAAATCATAACATATTTATTATTTTGTTATCTCCAGCACTGACTCCTGCATACAGAAAATAATTCGTGAGAAATTCAAATCCTGTACAGTATTGACAATAGCCCATAGATTACATACAATTATCGATTCTGATATGGTTATGGTAAGTTTTCTTTTTTTTAAAATATGANAATAATAAACAACCTTTTTGGATAAACTAAATATTTATTTTATTTCAAAACGCTTTCATTGTTTCGGTTCGATAATCGATTTACGATAAACTAGGATCTATCAAACTAAACAATAGCGTAATTATAGATGTAATGTACAGTACTTACCTTTAAAAATTAAGAAATCGCACTTAAGAAAATTTTATGAACTTCCACTTGTTATCACTTCCAACGTAATAGCAAGAATAATGCTATTGTGTAATGAAACTGTTAAATAAAATTTATTAATAGAAAGATGTATCCTTGTTGTAAATAAGTTAAAACCATAATTAACATAACTTCAAAATTATATTCTGTCAATGGATGTAAAAAATATTTATTGTTTACACATAATATTGTTATGTGTAAGCCATAAATATTTTTTATGTCCGTTATGTCATCCCTTCTTTATTTATTTATTATTAATAATTTTTATTTTTACTTGTATTTTTATGTATGTATAGTTAATGCATGCTTATATTTGTACGTTATCACTTTGTAGATTTTATTTATCTATTCACGGACTTGCGCAATAGAAGTTAATTAAGAAAATTTTAAAGTTCCGTAATCGGTTTCTTTCGTTATAAATCGAAAATATGTTTGATTCATTTGTTCGATTAATTGACCTTCATCTTTTATTAATTGACTAGCAGACCCCGCCATGAGTTGTTTTGGCTCAAAATGTATCTATTATAAATTTATAACACTTCCCCCGTGGGGGGGAATTTTTCGAAAAATTTCCTCTTAGTGTACATTCTTTTGACGTACCCTATTAAAACGCAATCAAAAACGCAATCAAAGAAGCAATCAAAAACGCAACAACCCGCATCTAAAATAGTATAATAGAAGCCAAGTTCTTCACGGTAAGCCTTAATCCTGTCTCTCTCCCCCGCGGGGAAATATCGAAAAATTTCTTGTTAGTGTACATTCTGTTGAGTACCCTATTAAAACGCACGCACACACACAACTTTTTTATTTACGTAATGCCGAAGTATTACATGTCTGGCACCGCTTTGCATAGCCAGTTATCATATAAAAACATTAAATAATTGAAATTACAATTATGTACATATATTATTTTTACGGTATTATTACAATATTTCACAATATTTTTTAAGATTTTTATAAAGTATAGTTCCTATAAAGCCCATCTTTGCATGAAGTCCAAAGGGCTTTGACAACATTATTCAACCACCAATAGCAAGCATTCAGATGTCCATATCACATAACCCTCTAGCTAACTTAGTTCTGATGGTTAAATTTGTGTATCACGAATTCAGTTGCACAATTGCACACTATTAATAACCATATTGAAGTAAGCGAGATTGAAGTAAGAGATTGAAGCTTAAATTGAAGTCCGGAAAAATTCCATTTCTCTGTCAATACTTCTTCTAAGCATGTCTTCGGTAGCAGTTTTCTTTTAATTGAAAGTAAGTAAAGTCTATATTTTTGTTTAATGAGACAGTTACAAAAAGGGCCAGTCCAGACAGACCCATATTCGGGTGTAAAAGGACACGAGGAAGTATTGCAAATCCCCAGCCATTCAATTGAGAACCTAATACAGACCAAATTCAAGGCCTTCTTTAAAACCTTGGAACAAAACTTTGAAACAAAATCAGTAGTAGGATGCCAAAAGAATTGGAAGGAACTATAATGCATACAGTATCAGTAATAATTACCATGATTATGAATTTAACAAGTTTAAATAATATATTAAGAGTGGTTAAAATAATAAATCTCGAGTACCTCAACTCCTGTGATTTAATAATAAATATTTAAAAGCATAACAAGAGTTGTATAAGAGTTAGCAGAAAATGCACTGCATTAACAAATATTAAAAGAATATTCGAATTAATAGATGCACTAGGCTTTCAGAATAACTGGGAGTTATGCCCTAATGGTAGTAAGTTTGCCATATCTTTTGGTTAAGTTGTTGAAATAGAAAAAGTTCTCCTTTGTATTAATAAGATTAGGTAAATCACATGGCCAAGATATGCCTTGTTGGTGTAGTATATTTTGAATTTCATTTCGTTCCCTTTCAAGTATCGGACAATGGAAAATATAGTGTACGTTTCCGTCTTCGATTTGACATATAGGGCATAAATTTGTATTAAGTCCAGAAAACCTGGCGAAGTAACTGGCAAATTTCCCATGGTTTGTGAGAAATTGAGTTATCCAGTGATTTGGTTTAATCCATTTAAATTTATAAGTTTCTTCGATACTTGGAAGAAATCTATATGTGTTGGATCCTTCACATTCATTCCATCTGCCTTGCCACTCATTTATAAGTTCCAGCCATAAGATTCTTTTCACTACATTCATGCTTATTTTATTATACGAGACAGGGAGACATGTGTTACTAGCAGCGGTTTTTGCTAAAAAGTCTGCCCGCTCATTTCCGACAGTTCCATGGTGGGCCATTGTCCACTGAAAAGTGTACATATTATTAGATGTACAGACCACATGTTTGATTTTGGTAGATATAGGATGAAGTTCATTATTATGAAGTGTAGCCAAGGAGGAGGCACTATCACTAATTATTGTTATATAACAGTCATTATAGGTATCATTAGTCCAGGTAACAGCCATTAAAATAGCAAACATTTCTGCCTGAAATATAGTAGATAATTCTCCAAGTCGGAACATTTGACTATAAATTTCCTGATTCTGTGCATATGCTACAAAGGCGCATCCAACATAGCTATTTATTTTGGAACCATCAGTATATATAATAATATTGCTTTCGTGTGCTTCATCAGTCATTTGAGGTGGAGGCAAACAGGGGTTTATAGATTGGTCAAAAGGAGTCAAGAATTCTATATCATTAACATCTATGATACCTGTGGAAGTGTCAATATTTTCTCTCCATTTAAGGTGGCAAATTCGGCTAAAATATTTTATGTGGATGTCCATAGGAGGTTTCCTTGTAAGAACTTGTAAGGAAGCTGTTGGTGCCGTTCTATATGCTTTAGTGAGGAGAATAATAGCCTTTCTTTGTGCAGATATTAATTTTCTTTTAGGATGGGTGTTGTGTGAGGCCGAACCCCAAATACCACAGGCATAAGTGATTATCGGTAAAAAAAGTTGATTATAAATGATATCTAGAGCTTCATATGTAAGTCCCCATGTGCTTTTTGCAACCCTGGAGAATGTTTGGAAGATGAGGCCGGCACGCTTTGTTATATATTCTATGTGATCATGCCAACATAGTCTGCTATCCAGAATAACTCCCAGATATTTTATATTTTTTTTAATAGAGATAGAAACACCTCCCATTCGAATCGTGGGTACTCGTAAGAATAAGTTAGGCCGTCCAGGGAGGTTGAAAATTGTGCCTTTGGTTTTCGTGGCATTAAATTGTAATTTATGCTCTTTCCCCCATATATTTATTTTATCCAGAATTGCTGTCCCTTTATGCTCAAGGTCGGCNTCTAATTTCAACTTTTCCATCTTTAGTTTCTGATATAACAATATCTAAATGAACTCAGTTCTGAATCTAATTGCAAATGGTACATAATTGAACTTTCATATGAATAAGAAGAGTTACATTTTTGTTAATTTTCCTTATCCCAGCATTGCAGGACATGTTAAAAATTAGGTTTTAATATGTATCAATATTTGAAAATCATAACATATTTATTATTTTGTTATCTCCAGCACTGATTCCTGCATACAGAAAATAATTCGAGAGAAATTCAAATTCTGTACAGTATTGACAATAGCCCATAGATTACATACAATTATCGATTCGGATAAGGTTATGGTAAGTTTTCTTTTTTTAATATAAAATAATTACGTAATTTTAATTAAACATTTTATATTATTAGGTTTTGGATGCTGGAAAACTAAAAGAGTACGACTCGCCATATAAATTACTGAAGAATGTAAATGGTACATTTTACAATTTGGTAGAGAACACAGGAGTAACTTCAATGAATGAGTTATACAAAATTGCCAAAGATAAATATTACGTTAAAGAAAGTACTTTAACAACGAAATTATAAAATCAATATATCTGCCTTTTTGATATCCTGTGTTCCTCCTATTATTATTTTATTTAAAATTTTCTCGTAAACATCACTTCCAATTAATGCTTCCAAACGCAATGTAACAATCAGAATTGTAAGTATATAAAAATTTGATATAGTTGTGAATTTCACTGTAAAATCTATACGCTAAACATTTTGTAATACAGTTAGTTGCTATTTTGGACATTAAAAATATTCAGGATGATTTTATTCAGTTAAAAAAGTTAAATTTCAAAATATTAAAGAAGAGTAATTTCAGATTTTTGAATAGTTTGTAGAGATTTTGTTAGCAGGTTTCGTAGAAAAATTCCAGTAATGTATACATGTATTCCACTTAAATTGTGTTTTGTTGTTATAAATAAATAAAAGTAAATTCATCAGAATATCCATTTAAAAATGTTTTATTTTATTTCGTCAATAAAATATAATGGAATTATTACTGAAATGAGATAATTAATTTGCTCTTTATATTATATTTTGCATCAATATACATAAAATTTATCGTTTGGAAATTAACCTGAAAATTATGTCTTTCAAATATAACTTGAAAATTAATTATTTACTATTAATGACATTGTATGAAAATGGAACATTTCATACAACGTACGACTAAATTGCCACAATCTTAAGATAAATTTTTTAAAACAATTTTTAGTTGTTATACAACAGGTTCGCATGTTAACATTAACGACAGTTAATTTATCGATTATCTTCCGTTATTTGAAACAACTTCTATCAGAAATTCTGACTAATTTTTTAAATTTTATTTTAAAACTAATATAACATTATATTTACTAACAATCATACTGGATTAGACATGTGAATCAGAGTAAGAACGTTAGTTCTTTGGTGTCCTCCAGACATCCGTTTTCTTCTAAAATGATGAAATTATAGCTGCATCACAAATTCTTCTGCTTTAATACAAATGCGTTTCTAATATTAGTTGTATGTAATCTGAAAGCAAAGAAAAATAAACGTATCAATTTTTAACTCGCTGAAATTTTTCCCATGTTATACCAATTGACAACAGATTCTTTGATATCATTTTTTTGAAATCATCATTTTTTTCAAATCATCATCATTTTTGTGCTGTAAGTATTATTTTTCAACATATGAATAATACATGTAACATTATGACTGTCGCATGAATAGTTTTGACTCTAGACCATAGTGCAAATAACAATAAATTGCTAATTGTCGTCTGTGTTTGTAAAGAAAATATTTTTTTTTCAGATTACGAGTGATATGATAACGTATATATTTCATAATATCGACAGGTATGATCATTTGCAATAAACAACTCTCAAGTGATTTTGTATCATGAGAGGATGCATCATCTTGTTAAAATTGGTAAAACTTCCCTTTAATTAAATTTTGTCTGTAAATGGCATCAAGTGCATTTCTAGTACTTGCTCATACCTACACCAATAATATAATCAGTAACAGAAACGAGATTTGTCATGGCAAACCAATTAAAATGCACATTGCACCATAACACTGCACTCTTGATCAAATATATTCATATTTTTTTAAGATTGTGTCAATAATTCCGCAGCTATCTGGCCTATCCATGTTGAATTTCTTCTGATCGCTGCATATAAGTTGTTTCAATTTACCAATGTGAGTCGCAGGATATTTAGTCCATGCCGAAGTCTACAATTCGTGGTTCCTGTTTAATATTTGATAGTTTTTTCCTTGTTTTATTTTGTATATTACAAAATAAAACAAGGTTCGATAACTCTGTATACTATTCATTATGAAACATATATTTGATACAATTTCCATAAATTCCTGAGAGAATTGCAAAATTTCTTGAAAGTAACTACATTTGATACAAATGAGTCTTTTGTTTTGCCATTTTTTTCTACTAAAATCGACGTAATCTATCAAAACACGATAAGAACAATTTCCGTTTTGTTGAAATTTTTGTACTTGAGTTTTCTTCAAGTTGGTACAGTTCAGTTTTTTGACAATATTCAAACCATGATATTGATTTTTTTCTTCTCATCATGAAGTCTTTAATTTATCATGTATTCCTAAAACATATTTTGCAGAATTTACCTGTACTCTACTACCAGCTTTATACTATCCTGTGGCTATTCTGCATATTAATTGCAATATAATAGCTGAAGTAGAAAAGTCTGAATCATTTTGAGACAAGTAGTCTAAATCTCTTACAACATGTTTAAAAATTGCATTATTTATATATTTTATTACTATGTTCAGTATGATTATTTTTGCACGATATTATAATAAAGCAATAATAAATTCACCTAGTTGCTTCAAATTAAGAACCTGTAATCGGCTTATAGATTTTACGTGGAGAAATTTGTACACCAACATCACTTGTCGAATTTTAATATTCTGGCATCATGACGACATCGGCCTTGTTGAGTTGTGCACAGATGCAAAACATCGTGTTTATTGCTCGTGTAGTTGCTTTTAACTTCGATCAAAGACAGAAAAGCACTTTCTGATTTATGAAAAATTCGCTCACGCTCTGTTCAATAACATTATATTTAATTACACAACATCCATAAAACATTCTAAAATGTAATGTGGATTACTCAGATTAAAGGAAGGCAATGCACAGAAGTTAATTGTGAATTTTCTGGGTTTTCGTACTTATGCCCTCATCCTCCTATCGAAAGACACAATGTAATCTTTTCGAATCTTTTCAAGAAATCAAGCAACTAAAACACAAAAAGATATTCAGTAATCGTTATAAGAAGAAACGTTCAATATCAAAAACAATACTATTGAAAAAGTAATTACTTTTATTTTTTGTTCGAGTGATAGGTTGCAGTTCACAAAACTTCGAATAACCTGAAAACTGTAACCTCNAGGTTTAGTTATTTATTCGTAAGTGCAGTTAGTGAAGAAAATTGTTATTATATTTAAAAAAGTAAATTTAAATACAATAAATACTTCCAAAAGCACATCACTTGTATAGTCACAGTTAAGTATTCAATGAAGACTAAAATAAAATTAACAGGAATTTAATAATTCTATTTATATTCGGTTTATGACGTCTGACGTCACCTTCAGACCTTCAAGAACGAACCCTCTCCATCTTACTCCATCTTACTCTATCCATACACCATTCTTCTTTAATTCCGTTTTCACTACATGCTAACTTTACTCTGTCGTACCAAATTTGCCTGGGTCTTCCTCTCTTTTTCTTTTTTTGTGAAATGTATTTCATTGACATTTTCAGGAATCTGTTATTACTTATTATTTTTACATGTCCAAACCAAATAAGTTGTTTCCTCTGTATAGCTTCCAAAACCGTCTCTTTCAATACCATTAGGTCATTAGTTATTCTTTCTCTTTTCGAGATTCTGCACGATCTTCTCAATGCAACGCTTGAAATGGAATTGTTGTTACTTTTCTCTTTCCCAGTCATTCTCTATGCTTCTGTCCCGTATAATAGAATGCTTTTAAGAATAGCATTATATATCCTATTTTCTTGATCTAGTTATTTCTTCACTCCAACATATTCCATTTAATCTTTTAACTGCTCTTTTATCTTGTTCTAATATTGTATTAATTTCTAATGCATCTCTTCCCTTTTCATNGTAATTGAATGTTTTGAAATATATACATGTTATTTTAGAAAAGTTTATCAGATAAATATTCTAACACTAAAACATCCTTGAATCAGAAGAGATTAATTGCAACGTGTATAAATTATATTTAAATTTTACAACTACCATTATCAAAAAATAAATTCTTCTCGCAACAAATTATATGAAGTTTTCGAGAGTTTATAAAATATTTGTTAAATATGTGGAATATTTTAAAAGAAACAATAAACGTCTTTATATTACGTCCTTAGTTGTTCCTGAGGTGTGTGAGTGACATAATAAGAACACGTTTATTGTTTTTTCTAAGTTTGATATATTAACGTCGTTCTGGGTATTTTACATTTTTATTCCTGATCTACGCTGCGATTATTGTTATATTGAATAAATCTTTCGTCTAGACTGGTATAACTATCGGAAAAGAGATAACATTTAATATTCTCGTATAATTGTAGTGATATGGGACCTACTCGTTCCCTTCCCTCCGAGTGCGATCTGTGTTATATATATGCATGCTACTCTAAATTAAATTTTTAATATGTATATATCAAATAATTTTTTCTTTTTTTTAAAATTATACTTTTCAAATATACCAGTCATTTTTTGAAGTAAAATTGGAACGAATATGTCGATGTTGAATATTATTTGTTGGAAAATTAACTTTTTCCTTTTTAAAATCCTCTATTAATATTTATGTTGTGATGACATAACCATCGAAGTGTAAATAACAAATGTACATAATAAAGTAGTTTAATTACACAGCATCCATAAAACATTCTAAAATGTAATGTGGATTGCTCAGATTACAAAGAAGGTAATGCACAAAAGTTTATTGCGAATTTTCTGGCTTTTCGTACTTATACCCTCATCCTCCTATCGAAAGACACAATGTTATCTTTTCGAATCTTTTCACGAAATCAAGCAACTAAAACAGAAAGATATTCAGTAATAGTTATAAGAAGAAACGTTCAATATCAAAAAACAATACTATTGAAAAAGTAATTACTTTTATTTTTTGTTCGAGTGATAGGTTGCAGTTCACAAAACTTCGAATAACCTGAAAACTGTAACCTCTGTCCATCGATACGTTAACGTAGGTCACGCGAGCGGTCGCATGTGTGAAGGGCGATCGGGCAGATGCAGTGAGAGACAGCGCACCGAATGTGACTCATGCAAAGACTAGGATAACGAAACAACCTAGTTTATTTAAGAAAACATTTAAAGAAAAATGCATGGACCCTGGGGACTACAGGAAAAAGGTGATATATATATTTATATCCATTCCTTAACAAGTTCTAAGAGATTTTACACAAAGACGCGCGGTGATAGATAGTTGCTTAATCTTTTGGTAATATATCTCATACATTAATCAACAAACGTTATCTTCAACATCAATATACAATCGCTATCTTCTCATACATCAATCTACAAACNTAATTTTTTTAAAATATTTAAAAATATACGGCCAGCTAGTATTCACCCTACTTTAAACCTTTCTCCTCCTGTAAATTTTACGAGAATGTTCCGCGAAATACTATAGCAGTTGTTCTCAAGGTCATCCAGATGTAAACACAATTTCTCATCTGTGTCAGATTTCGCGGTAAGGCGAAACAATGGAAAATAAACTTTGAAGCTTTCTCTTCAAAATTAACGCATTTCTTTCGTTTGTTTCAGTTTTAAGTATTTTTATGCTTAATTAAAAATTCTAAAATTAAGGTACGTAGAAAAGGGGTTAATTAATTAGCGTAATTCTTAAATATCTTAATTATTTTTATATGCTTTGTTCTATCTTAAAAGGAAAGAATTTACAGCTAAAGCAATGATAGTAGATAAGTAATATTAAATTATAATTTTTTTATTATTACTTGCTACATATTCTAAAAACGTAAGTTTTAAGAATACGATAGTAATTTACAAATAACAAGTCATTTAAAATAAAGGAAATGTAAATTATAAAGCTAACTCCTTGGTTTTTCACATTGTAAGTAATGAAAAAGTAGTCGCATGTAATGTGTAAAATATTATAAAACTCTAGACAATACAAACATTTAAGTCATTCTTTATTTTCTGTTATTTCGTGAAGAGTTTCTTTTTTTAGATGCACTCAGTTGCACGCATACTGAACTACAGCAAATTGAAATCTGAAGCGTCATACAAAAGTTTACCCGATAAACAGCCACCAGCAGATTGGCCACAAAATGGAGAAATTTGTTTTGATAACGTTTCTTTACAATATTCCAAGGATAAAAATGTTGTACTAAAGAATTTAACATTTCGTATTCATTCAGGAGAAAAGGTAAAATATCTGCAAAATCCTAATAGTAATGTCATTATTGTCTGAAATTATTCTTATTGTTTATTAATCGCAGATTGGAATTGTTGGGAGAACAGGAGCAGGGAAGAGTTCAATAATAGCTGCTTTATTTCGTATGACAGAACCAACAGGAAAGATAACAATCGATGGAATCGATATTAAAGATATAGGTCTTCGGGATCTACGTAGCAAAATTTCGATCATTCCTCAAGTAAGTAATAATTAATTTAGTCAAAATAATTATTGATTCGCTAATTTTCACATTTACATTATATCATAATTGTCCTTCCTTGTTTTTCTTACATGAGAATNACAGCCCCGACGATTCCTCGGAATGATTAAACTTTTACCACAGGTTGATTCCAGAATGTGCTACGTTGCAGGTTTCTCTTAACACCATGTTAATCGATCATACCAAGCCTCGTCTGATCCGAAAAAGCAAACAGAGCCGCTCTGCTCGCCCACCCAGCACCAGAGACTAAGGTATTTGGGTTTAAGCATGACTTGTCTTTCTGTTGTATCCATGTCTTTCCATCACTATTATAAAGCAGAAAACTTGTTTCATTAGTAAATATGTAACATCCTCCCAGTGTGATTTAGCACAAATGTTCAGTTTTCAAATCTGTTTAAGTGGGTAGATGTTTACGGTGAGAGGTTCGCTGTAAAGTGCTTCTCGAGCGTTGCATAAAGAAACGCGGCCATTCCAATCCAAGAAAGAAAAGTATATAGGGCAGAGGACGCCACTGCGTGACCTTTGCCCTCTGACCTCTGACCTTTGCTCCCGTACTCCAACAAGGAGAGAGCTTTTCACTTTACGTTAGTTAATCTTTGGAGTTGACAGCTGTGCCGATCTTGGATTTGTATTACATGTCGACACTGTAAATATCACGTGGCCGATTCAAATAAAGAAAATTATTCGCCTGAATCAGTTTCTCAGTTAGTGAATGTGGACATCACGGACAAAGTAGGACGCAGCCCAGACCAATTCCGCCTAGCATCGAAACATGCCGCGTACGGACTTTAGCCACTCTGCTAAACTGGTAACCCAAACGTGAGATCATCAAAAAAAAAAAAAGGACAGAAGAACTCAAAGACGAAAATGAAAGAGAGAACCATTAAGCTGAAGACACTGTGGCTCCAGTGCCTACCGATCAACATGCGAAGCGTCCTGTTGGTTAGCAGTGATAAACTCTCAAAATTAGCTGCTACGGCTGACGAGATTTGGGAACTCGGCCCTGGCCCAACGACGGCACAACTTGCCCCTTAGCAACCAGAAGCACACACTATATGGAGTCACTCCCTTCCCTGAACACCCTGCAAAAGTAAATTACGGAACTGTCACTGCAGGTAGCTGTACTTAATGAGCGAATACATCCACTTGCGAGACAACGAAAAACTCGATCCAGATCAGGGGAGAAATTACACAGTTGACAAGTTTCCAGCGGCAACATGTTATGTTCGGGAGAGATGCCTACAAATATCGGCAACTGTGTAACTTCAAAGAGCAAAAGGTTGCAGTTGAAGCGGAAAATTGACTCTCTTTGGCGACAGGGATGACATGGATTGAGCTGAGTTGCCTTTATATAAGCAACAAGGATACAGCAACCCTGTACCTCGTGGACACCGGAGCGGACATTTCCGTTATACTCCCATCACCCCACGAGAGACAAGCTTGAGCTTTTTGCCACCAACGGATCGACAATCAAGACCTATGGCCGAAAGTTACTGAACCTAGACTTCGGATTATGAAGAA